ATGGAAGTGAGCTCAACACATATAAACCAAGAGGCTCATAGAAACCCAGCTTTTCTTTGCATACACTCAGCTGAAATTAGTAGCACCGTAAGGGCTATTCATAGCATTGTGTGAAAATTCTACGCATTCTCAATCTAAGATTTATTGCTGGTAGATTACTCGAACTGAGGCAATTAATATTCTGCATGACTCTCACACTTTTGTACTTGTCCTGCGTCAATACGGAGTGTAAAATTTATCCGAACAAATATCACCAAAGCTGCCCGCCATCTTGACGTTCATCTTTAGAAATGCACACACACACACACACACACATACACAAATGCATCAACATATACACACAGACACAAATGGAGTGAGCAATAGTAGAAGAGAGGAAAGTGAAAAGCTGGCACTAATACAGACTGAAAATTAATTGAATTCATTTCACATTATGGCCAGATGCTGGAACACACAGGACTCGGCCACTTTTCGCCTGCTCCACCTCCTCGGTCCGGTGACTTGAGCACGCCTGTTGCGTCACCGACAGACAGAGCGCTTGCCGCCACTTCGGTCGCTCGTCTTGCTTCATCATTTCCATTTTTGCCCATCGACACTCGCGTTGTTTGATTACGTGTCCGGCGTCTCAGACAGTTGATAGGACGGTGACAGTGTACACTTTATTTCGCCTCATCAGCACGAGTCAACTGACAGACGCAACTTGTCTGCCAATGACTCACGCAGGTTCGAAGCAGAACTACGAGCCCAATTCCCTCGGGTGCAATCACAGCCCAGGAAACTGGCATCTAAAGGACATTCGAGCGCACAAACACTACCACCAAGTTGTACCCTATCTTAAGCCCCATATATACATACATACATACACACATACATACTCATTTACTTATACATACATACACTTGCACACTGGTACATCTGTTCCGATCATACAGGGAGCTATATATGTGCACACCTACATGGTGGGATGCAGCCAGTGGCCCACATAACTGAGGACCGGGCCCGATGAATCCTCCAAGGGACTGAGGATTCAGAGGATTGAGACAGTTGCGATCAGAGACTTCAGAGACTTGGCTTTTGATGGCAGACTTTTCGTGACGAACGTCAACGGACGGAGGCGGGAGGGGACTAGCAGGTGAGTCGTCGCTCGGACGACCGCGAGAGAAGAGAAGCCTGTCGAACAGAGGCGCCGGCAGGAGTGGGCGTGGAGGGGATGTGAAAGTGGCGATGGGAATTTGGACAATCGGCCAATTGTGGATGAGAAGGCGGAGGCTGGAGGCTGGAGGCGAGGCAAAGAGCCCGCGAGGGTGGAGCTTGAGATTGGGAAAAAAGAGGGAGAAATGAGGACAAAGGCGGACTGGCCGAGTCACAAACTTTTGCACTTCAATTTGGACTAGCGGACTTCTTCCCGCTGCAGTTCTGGGTGGGGCAAAGAGAAGGTTACTCATCGGCTCGATACTGTAGATCACTGAACGTCTCCTGGGACCTGCTCGCCCGTTAAAGGCGAGTGTCGAGGACGAGAGAGGGATATGGGAAGGGACAGAGAAATGGAGAGAAAGAGTGACAAGGAGA